TGGAACTTTAGTGGCTCTAGTCCAAGCCGCGCAAAACAAAAGTCTCATGACCTTGGCGGCCTAAGCAGTGAACTGGCTTTCAAGCCTCGAACCATTCGAGTCTAGAGCATGGGACAAAGGAGACATGCGATGAGATTTTCAACTTACCCGGCAAGTACGCTACATTCATAACTCTGCAATCACAGCAATCCTGCTATCAGGAGCGCATGGCATGCAAAGAGAGGTTTGCCTCGAACTTCGCCGTGGCATGGGTCTTCTGTGTGTTGCTCGTATCCTCACGAATCACTCTTTGCTTATCTTGCCCCTGTTGTCTCTGATTTTTGTCATTCTCATGGGCGCTGGAATGCAGCTGGAACCTAATGGAACCTGCCTCCAAAACAAAACTTGCGCGACTTGTTGATACAAGCGCCAGCATGCAGGCACAGTGCGAGCCAAAGCCAAAAGTGCAGGCCTTTCGCTTGACCTGCTCCTCGTTGAGAGCCCTTGGAAGCCCATGTTTTGGATTCCTTGGGCCTCTACCTCGTACCCCCGCATGTTGTCCACGAAAACCCAACCATACAGTTTGGCAGGTCTAGCTGCGTGGACCGTCACCAGGAAAGGCCCGACTGAAGCAACTGTGCGCTGCCATTCTGACGGTGGGGAATTCTGAAGCAGAGATCAGGGGTCCACAGCACAGGTTCGCGGATTGCTACATAAGAAAACGGGCAACACGTCTTGAGGGCCACACAGGGACTTGGCTGACTCTGCAGCCTGCGGCGTCGCCTCGCTCGCGGCCTCCAAGGCTTTCCAAACGTCTTTGCTGAGACATATCGGTGAAGCATTGCCTTGGTGGCTTCTGGCGCTTGGCCACCAATACGAAGCAACCAGTCCTGTCATTGCAGCGAACATCCAGACGCTCTGCCTCGACTACCTCTAAGCCTCTAATCTGTGCTAGAGCAGCTGACAGCTGCTACTACCAGCAACTCAGCTTACCATCTGGTCTTCAATGGGAATGTTGAGAACGGGCCAGGCGAGAGTTCTGAAATACGACTGACATTCTGAATGGTAAATACGCCAGGTTTCAGGTGAACGAGAGCATCAGGAAGATTGGCTACAGTGCTGGATAAAGCAGCAAGGGCCGCTTCAGTATTTATTGGCATCTTCCCAAGCTGCATTGAATTCTTCCATGATGCGGAAGCTTGCACAAAACATGAATCTGGTAGCAGCAGTATTTGAAAGCGCGCAACGAGCTTGCACGTGTCATGCAGCCGAACATCTAGAGCATACTGCAACATGATCCTGATTCCACTTGAAGCAAACTGTTCTTGAACAATGTGATCCGTGCGCCTCCAGATCCGGTCCTGAGCTCGCATCCAGGAGTCAACAAAGGAGGGCTACAGGGCAACCATTTATTTGAACGTGGCGGGACTCCGAACCTAAACATGCTCCGAAAACAGAACCGCAATCCCAAAGCCCACAATACTTCCCTGACAGAACCTCAGGTCCCGACGCCTGAAGCTGTAAACCTGCGCAGGTGCAGCCAAACAAGCTCTGATTCAAGAAGCTCGCAAGCTCACACCAACTCCCCAACCTGCCTAGATCAGGCTTCAGAAACAGCTGCTTGAATCAAAACGAATCTCAATGAACGCATAGGAAACTCCCAGCACATCGCACTAAACCACGTCTTGCAAGCCCTGAGCCACAGAGAGCTAAGTGCACGGACCGGTATGCGAGAACGCAAAGGACCGATGTGACGCACAAACCTGGAAAGAAAGTGATGCTGATCAGAAAACTTCAACATACGGCGAAACAAATTCGGAGGAGGTAGCGGCTACTGTGGTGGCGATGCAGGCGGTACCGTCGTCATTGTCGTCACCACTGTGGTATACTAGCACTAAAAATTCTACTAGTACCACCACTTCGTAGTAGTGCCGGGTAATAGTCGTAGTAGTAGTAGTAGTAGTAGTAGTAGTTGTTGTTGTTGTTGTTGTTGTTGTAGTTGTTGTAGTTGTTGTTGTTGTTGTTGTTGTTGTTGCTGTTGTTGTTGTTGTTGTTGTGGTTGTTGTTGTTGTTGTTGTTGTATGATGTTGTTTTTGCGCCTGGCTTCGAGGCATGGGTTTCGGAGCGTGTGGCCACCGCAGGACTGTCAGCACTTGTTTCGCAAGAAGGTCAACGTTGAGAAATGCAAATTGGGGGAGCGGCGAGGTACTTTGTTTCGTGATTTCTCGGCTACAGTTACAAGTAGTTTATTAGCCATGTCTCCCAGATCCGGGCCTATCCGCAAGGTCCGGGGCAAGGCGATTTCCCATGTACAATACATCGGCTGAAGTTTGCGGAGAACAGCTACATATGTAGCCTATGTCATAGGTGCGCGGTTCCCATACAACTCATGCTGGACGGTACACCTTGCGTGCCGCTCACCGGCCACATGTCTATATGTGCGCCGTTCTTCGGCCACATGCCTTCTTTTCAAAATGGCTGGTATGCATTTGCTGAAAAACTCTGGGAGTTCTCTCGGATTTGCTGCTAACTGGTGTGGCCGATTGTTCGGCCACAACGTCTCGCGACTAATTGGGATTGCTCTGGATGACAGCCAGTGGGTATCCATCTCTGGGAATGTGGCGACATTCGCTGTGGATTGCTCGCTCCTGCTTCACATGGCCCTCAGGAGCCAATGATTTCAGCAGGCCTGCAGTGCACAAGGCTGAGGAGGCAATTTGCGATATGTGATGAGTCCCTGTAGCACCTGCGTGATGTGGAGATCTACAGCTGGAAGTGTTCAGAAAGCTTCTCCTCCATTGAGCTGACCGTTTAGTGAGAACTTGCTGTATAGTGTATCGCGAAGGAGCTTGCTCCTTGTGCTGTCTGTTGGATGTTGACTGGGGCTGTTAATGAGCTATTCGCAGCACAGCTCCCACCTCACTGTGGTATTACACGCACCAGACACTAACCTGTGCACCAGCTGTCGCACTGACCGGCTGTGATGGAATGGCATAGTAGTAGTGGTAGTGGAAGTAGTGGAAGTAGTGGTAGTAATGGTTGTAGTGGTCGTAGTGGTTGTAGTGGTTGTAGTGGTTGTGGTGGTTGTAGTGGTAGTAGTGGTAGTAGTGGTTGTGGTGGTAGTAGCGGTGGTAGTAGTGGTAGTAGTGGTGGTAGTGGTAGTGGTGGTAGTATACGTAGTATTATTATTATTAGTAGTAGTAGTAGGAGTACTAGTGGTAGCAGTGGTGGTAGTGATACTAGTGGTAGCAGTCGTAGTAATAGTCGTCGTCGCAGTGGTGGTGGAAGTGGTTGCTATTGTTTTAACAGTCGGGGAAACGAGGCTTTGCAAAACTCCTGGAAGGCTGTTGCAGCTGCAAAGGGACGTAGAAGTGGGCAGCGCTGTGGGGACCAGCATGTGCGCGTCCACTGTGACTTGCCACTGATCCCTCGGCGATGAAGCCCCCGTAGCCCTTGACCAAAAACCTTGCACCTCAGGCCCCAAAACACAAAACACAAATTTGGAGGTCGAGCTAAAACTAAACAGCCTTCGGATCATCCTCATGTCTGGAACCTCAAAGAATAGCATTGCCACAGTTTTCGGTCTTTTCAATGTTGTGCCAGGGCGACGCCCGGCGGCTGGGGTCCAGGTCGAGCTGAAAGTTGGTGGAGGGGAAGCTCGGGGAGCTGATGACCTGAAAACCGCAGCGAAGGCAGCAAAGCACAGCATGGATTTCTACCCATTTTGAGCCATGGTGTGGGCTATTGTGGTGCAAACAGCAGTGGCCGGCAGACAAAAACTGAGCCTTCAGGCCTTGCAAGCTCGATAACCAAAGCCCAATAGGACTCCAACAACAACATCTGGACGGATTCTTGGTCGTTAAGGGAAGGTTGGTTGTGCATCATGATCACAACCTGAGGCAACTGCTCCCAACAGAAAGTCGTAGATGGGCCGCAGCGTGCAGCGCCGGAAATTAAAATCCTCAGCTGCATCTTCTTCCAGCCCAGCACAAGCCCAAAGCTTGCTCCGTGTGCTTCCCTTCCTCAGCTCCTGTTAGGCATCCTAAGCTGCGCAGCCGGTGATCACGGCTGGATACCACGCAATGGCTTAGCGAACGTCTGGATTGCTTGCGGTCCCTCAAAGGACACGCTTGCACGCAGCTTCTCCCTCATCAGAACTTCATGCTGTCACAAAGACAGGCATGAGCTCCATGCACGCCAAGAAGCATTATGCCCGCAGTCGCAAGTGTGGAAATGGCTAAGCTCCTGATGCGGCAGCGAGTTGTTTCTAGATTGATGGAGGGGTTCGGCTACTGAGATGAAACCATCAACCTGGGTACATTCTCTGGCACGAACTCAGACTCCACTGCTTGCCTCGGCCGTTCTAAACTCTAGGCCTCGGTGTCTCACGTTGCGCCTTCATATTGACAGCTTCCCAAAGCTTCTCGCTCTGCGATATGGGAATCATCGTGTCGTTACCTCGGTAAACAATTGGTTGCGCAAGCCGGTGCCTAGTGGACAAAGCAACGATGGCAACTGGTCTTCTAAATTTGGGTGCCCATAGATGGTCACCGAGGTCAAGCGATGCAAGCCAGGTGTATCGCAGATGCAACGAACCAAACACAGGCTTATGTTCCAGCTTCAGAGAAACATGAACCACATCAAAGTGAAAAGCCTCTAGTAAAGCCTGCCTGGCTTGTATGTGTCAAGCCGAAATCGGGAAGAAGCCCTTGCAGACTCCGGCCGCACCCCACTGAGCAGCTCGGCGCCCGTGGATGAGCAGCACCGGGCATCTGATCTCTTTCATCATTGCCTTTAACGGGCGACATCACAAGTGTAACATGCCTGAACACTAGATTGTGTTTTTCAAAGATCCTGCCCATACTTGTGACGTCTCGAGTACTGGGCTGTGCATATTGAGAACAACAGCCTTGAATCCGATCAGAATGATGTTAAAGCTTAACCTTCTTGACCTACAGAGACAAAATCAATTGTAGAGACGTGAACTAGTGGTCTGCTGTCATCCCCCAAAAACTGAGCCTTCAATTCAAAGTTGAAAATGCCCAATCCGGAGAAGAACAGGACCTCTGCCTTGTTCCGGAACCCGAACCGGCCTCATTTGGCCACAAGCGATTCACCAGGCGCTTGGCTACACGGCCAAACAGGTGGCCAGCTACCTGGCGGATCTCTTGTCGCTGGTCACAGATGTTTTAGGGAACGCTCGAAGTTGTGCGCTTGACGGAAACAATGATAACGAGGATCCTGAATTTCATGCAAAACCTTCGTCTTGATCGGATGAGCTTGGCACACAGAATGGCCAGGTGCACCGAAGCAGCACCGAGTGGTGACAGGCATCCCGAAGCCAAAGCCCTGAACTCTCGCCAGTCAGTCAAAATTCAGGCCTCGGGGAAGTTGGCAAAGCCACACTGCAGGACAACCCCGCCCGGCTGCTGCTTCAGCTCCTACACATCTCTGGTTTGGTGCCAGATATGGTTTACTTCTGCTGACCCCGCTATAGCAGCTACTAGAACGTAAAGCTGTGTATGGTTAGGTTTCATGCCTACCACCTGACACCTTGGACTCCTTCGAGATGCGGTGTACAGCTCGGAGAGCTGGTCCCGATCCAATCGAGCGGCCGTACCAAACCACCTGTATTGGGCAAGTCGTGGGGTGTTCTGCGATTTGGCGTTCACCTCTTCTTCTATTAGTCTCTGAGCCCGCAGCGACGATGGAAGCTGGGAAATATTGAGTACGAACCCGTCTATGCACCCTCGGGCAATCTGGGGAAAGCCTGCTGGCAAAATCAATACCGTGCCTGTTCTGGCTGTTTTGGCAAAGGGGGCATAGGAAAGATGCACAGCGTTAATGTGGCACCCTTTTTAATGGAGGGGTTCGGATTGATGAAAAGTTTTCGGGAAATTATTCA